AAATTCAAAATATAACTTATACGAAAAAATCTAAAGTTTAATTTTATAGCTAATTTGTTTGTTTAATTTATTTTAATAATATAAAATTAAAGAAAAATGATGGAGGATATATAAACTGTTATCAAATATTTATTATTAGAATCATTAAGTGTCATATATATATATTAGTCATTTATGGTAATTCCGTAGGTTTTATTTAAGGAAAAAAAATAAAATAGTAATTATATATAGGGAAACAATCATTAAGTGTCATATATATATATATATATATATATATATTAGTCATTTATGGTAATTCCATAGGTTTTATTTATGGAAAGAAAATAAAATAGTAATTATATATAGGAAAACAATCATAAATACTTCTATCATAAATATCATATCATATCATCATATCATATAATTTGACCAATGAATGTATCTAACGACATATAAAAATCGAATGTGTACATACTTATTTTTCAATTGAATGTAATTGAATACCTAATTGAGTGACACCTAAGCATGGAGTCTTTTTTAATTATTACAAAATTGAGGTTACAATTTTTTAAATGTTTCTCCTTTAATATATAAGGGATAATATACTTTTTATTAGCCTAAACATAAAACTATTATTAATGCTATTCATTATTTCCTTAAATAAAATTTACGGAATTACCTAATATGGTTACAATATATATATATGACAATTAATGATTTGAATATGAAGATTTGATAAAAAAAATTATAGCATCTACTATTTTTGTTAAATTCAATTATAAAAATAAATTAAAGAATAACATTAAATATATAACAAAAAATTAGATTTTTACATATGTTATATTTAATTTTTTTACAAACAACTATAAATTAATAAATCATTGAAAAATTTCAATTATAATATTTTTGATTAATAGTTTAAATCTCCTATATGTTGGAGCATTACAACATTTTTTGGTAGTCACGTGTCACAATGAGAATGATTTTCATTACTATTAGAGAAATATGTTGGTCCAACTAAACATACGTTTATTTTTATTATACCAACTATCATATTTAATTAGTAGTGTACAAAACAAGATTTTTTATTCTTTCCTTAAATAAAAGCTACGGAATTACCTAATGTGATTAACATATATATCACAATTAATGTTTATGAATAATAAATATTTGATAACAATTTTTATACTTATGTTTTATTTAATTTATATTATTAAAAGAAATTAAAAAATCACATTAATTATATAATAAAAAATTATATATGTTCTTATACGTTATATTTTAAATTTTTTAAAACGACCATAAATTACTTAAGATGGTAAAAATCTCACACTGAAATTTTGTGATCAATGGTAACGATTTTAGTTCAGCCAATCGTTTTTCTAATGGGTCTTAAATAGTTCATAATGATTAACTAAATGGATCACCCATAATAGAGTGTGTTTTGTTTAAAATTTTTGCATACCCAAAATCAATATGAACCATCATCCATTTCGNAATCTCACACTGAAATTTTGTGATCAATGGTAACGATTTTAGTTCAGCCAATCGTTTTTCTAATGGGTCTTAAATAGTTCATAATGATTAACTAAATGGATCACCCATAATAGAGTGTGTTTTGTTTAAAATTTTTGCATACCCAAAATCAATATGAACCATCATCCATTTCGTTTTAATTTTTGGTATAATAAAAAAAAAATATGGTTGGACAAAAAAAAACTAAATCCAAATAACCGAACCAAATCTAACCCAAAAATGAATACAAATTTTTAAGCAAAATTGGTTAGATATCCAAGCGAATTCGAAATTTTGGTATCTAGATAATCAAAACTGAATCGAAAAATTTCGGTATCCGAGTGTACTCGAACCAGATTTATATTCTTAAATATATTAATTATTTGTAAATTTAACATCTAAGAATATACAAAACATGAGATGTTTTAAAAAATTCTAAAATACTTAGAAATATGTAAAATAGTTAGATGCAAATTTTTAAAATAGCCAATCAACCTCTAATTACCAAAAATATTTGAAATATTTAATGATTTTTTGTCCAAATATTTAAGAT